ATTGATTATCGTGGCCTAAAGTATTATCTACGAAGCACGACACAAGAAGCTGATGGGAAATGAGCATCAAATACCCCTTTTCCACCAAAACAAACTTGGTGCTCGTTCGGCGCCGGGGCCAATGCTGTGCTTAGTTGATGCTTAACAAGTTCTTACGAAGAATGTGTTTCCACCAGCAAAGAGCCAAGTAGGAGCTACGTAATCACGTCATCGTAAACCATCCAAACATCACTGCTTATGTCGACATTTACCCATGAGCGCCTGCGCTATTAATAATAATAATAATAATAATAATACTACGACTACTAATAATAATAATAATAATAATGCGCTATTAGCACCTGCTAGGCAAAATAGCAGAGCATCGATTATACTTTTATGTAATATATAACGGGGACATGCAATCATCAAACACTGATATCCTTCCTAATCATTGTAGATGATCACGAGGCTGGCTGCAAGTCGGAGATCGCATGCTATCTGGGCACATCCGCGATCGCTCGTTTGATGGGACACAATCATACCGGGGGGTTCACCGCTCAACAGTGAATCTAAAACTTCCGTGTTTCCAGGGAGTCAATCCTCTACATCTGCGATCGTCATGATAAGCCTGCCCACTGCCCCTTGACGTACAGTCTGGCCTAACAAATAATTGGGGCCATCTTAAGCACCAGTTTCAAGCACCAGAGCTAAGAGCTATAGCCAATTTCGGTGGTGGAAAAAGAAAGAACTTTTGCCTACCTGGGCACTGGCCGGGAACTAGCGCTAGCACGAGTGCGGTGGAAAAGAGCCAAAAGAGAGCGACATCATTATTAGCATGCCACATTCTAAAGATTAAAAAAGTAAACATCTAAAGTTCTTAACAATAGGAGAAAAACGTAATCATCGACTGTCTTTTTCCCTTTTGTTGTTTTTAAATACATGAATAAAATACATTTCACAGTGCCTCTTCCCTTGATGGCCCTTCCGCGGTGTTTTTATGGTCAGTTGACACATCATTGATTGTGGGTCATTTTTCACTGCTAGTGCAGCAAATCCTCTGAGCTCATTAACCCGAGGAGGCAAACCTCAGTGGCCACTCATCACTTTTCACAGGAAATTATTTTCGGGTTGGAAATTGTGTCCACTGTGATTCAAAGGAGGATTAGTCAGCTGTTTTTTCCATCACAGGACTTCAACTCTGAATAGAACTCAATTTCTTATTCAGTCCCCTGACACAGCAATCTTTTGATAATAAAGGGTAATCAAGATGAGTGGTCATGAAGTGGTTATGTCATCTTTATAATGAAAAACAAAAATGTCACTGCATCTTGTGACGAACAAAGCCAAACAGTAACTTCTACTCGAAATACAGGTAAGCAAATATCAGCTGATTGTTTTGAATCTGTACTTGTCCGTGTAAAACATGTTGCCGTGCTGCATGAGATTAAGTATCGTGTGGGTGGTGCCTGCATTTATTTATTTATTTTAAATTAGTTAAAATTTTTTTAACCGAGACAATGTCATTCCATGTTATAGTCTCTCCTGTGTGTGCACCTTGACAATGACAGCATGGAATCCGAGTGTCTTTGCCCCTGTAATAGTCTCAGGCTCCTGTGTAACCTAGGAAATGAGCGATGGAATGAATGAAAAAGTATTCCTCGGCTCCTTTTCATGCACGATGCCATGTAATCGGAAGACTTTGGGGTCACCAGCATCAAATGAGAAAGTTTGTCTTATGAAACGGAGTTAGCAGCGTACGAGGTCGCCGACCCAAACCGCTGTCAGCGTTGCAGTGCTTCTGCTGCACTGTGGTGTCATGTTTCCACGAGATTACAACGTTGTTCCCCACCTAAAGAATGTAGGACATCCCCATGGGCCAGACACAACTTGATTTACATGGCGTTCAACCCGATGACAGGCTTTCTGAAGGTGCGATGAGATTCATATAACAGGCATTCTGGTGTGATTTACCTCAACTACGGCTGGATTTCGGTGCGTCAGCATTCTCAAACCACTGGAATTATTTTTTTTTTTCCCCTCAAGTGACCGTTGGTGGAATTGGCTTTATTCTTTGTTCTAAGCTGAGATCTCATCACAAAAGTTTGTACTATAGTGGGCTGACGGGTCATTAAACAATCGAGGCCGCCCTGCTTCTATTCTCTACCTTTTTACTAGGGTCGCAAAGTTGGACCTCACGTGCTCTTGCTTGGCTTGTGTGCACGTTTAGATCTGCCGGCAAAGTGCCAGTGAATGAAAAAAAGGAACAGCCAAGAAGCATCATGAGCGAGGCCTCCAACAACACGGGCGGCTCGGACTGTGCCGCAAACCAATCCGGCGCAGCAGCAAGGGTGAGTAACATACATGATGGGGCAACTCTGACCAGAAAATAGAACTAGGTGAAATTTTGATGTCTTTTAACACGGTCTTTTTGGAAAATAACAGCTGACATATACATTGCAATTGTAGGCATCAAGACCGCCTAAAAAACTTCATAATTTTGGAAAGAGATCAAATTCTATCAGGAGGAATCCCAGCGCTCCCGTTATAAAGAGGGACTGGCTCTATAAGCAGGTAAACAAAACGCTTTTGTTTGTGCGAGTTATTTTCTGTGCACTGATTCTGATGGTGTTCATTTAGAAGTAACGTTTTCATGGTCTTTCGCAAAAACAGCACCATAATGGCCTTGGGGCTTTGTCTTTATTGCTCGATAGAAAAAATGTTGGAAAAGTCATAAAAAAATCAGCAGACTATTCCTTTTCAGATTTACATTGGCGATAGAAAGACACACCACAGTTCAAAGTTTTTGTTGCATGAAAACATCATTCAAATAGTGGCGGGCGTGTGCTGACACCCATTAAACACGTGTTTGAATGCGATTGCAAAATTCTGAGCAAAGCCACATCCCTAGTTATAACATGTTCACACCTCTGCAACGACATTGTCAGTTAATTTTTTTACTTTCCCTCTCAAAGGTTTGTTTTTTGCATTTTTCAGTTGTGTTGGATAGGTTATAGATCACGTGAATAGTTTTGAAATCATTTTTCCACCAAAACATGGAATTTGAATGGGGGGGTGTAGACTTTTTATATGTATGATAAATGATCAGGTATAAGATATGTATTTGATGCCATAGAAGATCGGATTTATTCGTCCACTTTTGCTGGCTTGGCTACATAAGCACTGTTTGAATAGCGGTCCTTTATCAGGGCTCCTGCTTGCAGCAGCCGGGGTGAAAAGGGGATGCTCGAGGCGCTCGTTTGCCAGAAAGGACTCTCAGGCGTCAGTGGCAGACTCATTTAGCTTTGATTGCAGCCTCCCAGCCGCGTCCTTTCAATGCACGAAGGCTTCCTTTGGTTGTGCTGCCAGCTGCTGTTTCTTTAGGAGCTCAATCAGGGTGATGGAGATCAAGCACGAGCTCAACAACTCAGCGACGCTGAATAAAAGCTGGATCTTCGCGTATTTTCCTGCCTCTGTGAAACTGAGAAGCAATTGAAGTCCTTCTAAGTCCGTTGAAGGAAACATCTAAACCCTTCAGCGAATTCATCGGTGACATATAAGTGTCCCTTTGAGGGGACAGTGAAATACTTATTTTTGAATTCAGTCCAGTGAATGCACTGGTGTCAAAGTCAAGGCCCGGGGGCCAGATCCGTCCCGCCACGTCATTTTGTGGCCCGCTGGAGCAAATCATCTGCGTCAACTTTCATGATCCTTGCTGAAATCTGTACCGAAATGTCAAATTGTCATGGGGAAGAAATGACGTTCCCTCCGAGGGAAGCCGTAACTCTGAAGTGGCCCGCGACAAAAAATGAGTTTGACACCCCTGAGTTAAGGTCTGAACGTTGTCTCAAGCTTCTGCTGGAACATTTTAAGAACAGCTTGGCGGAGCACATTGTTCAATATCTTGTCGAGACTTTGACTAATTTCTTTTGAAAAGTATTTCATTGTTATACTGAAAGACTTATCTTTAATTTCACCTACCAACCTAAACCACTGCTATGGCAACCCTCCAGGCAGTATTCTTCTGCTCAACATCTATTGCTTTGAAACAGGATTTCAGACCATTTGGTGAAAATTTCTCTCTATTAAAAACAACAATGTTTTAAAAGCCATTCATTTTCCACTTTATCACTCAAGAAAAATGTAGTCAAATGCCAAGTCATATCCCATCATAATTAAGTGAGAACCTTAAATGCTCTCTCCAATTGAATTAATCTTTTTTTTTTTTTTTTTCCGGTAGCTAACTATGTATCTGACTCTTCTGGTGTCTTTGCAGGACAGCACCGGGATGAAGCTGTGGAAAAAGAGGTGGTTTGTGCTGTCAGACTTGTGTCTCTTCTATTACAGAGGTGAGTCATTCCAACGAAACGCATCTTTCAATGCTACTGCTTGCAGCAACTGTACCCTGCACGCTCTCCTTAAGCCATGCCCCGGGCTACTTCTGTTTAGCTGGACTCAATCCCTGTGCTTGTACAAGATCCAAAGAGACTGTTGGAATGGCTATGTAAGGAACATGGCTTGGATTATGCCTTCCAAACATGGTTTTGACAAAAGGAGCTAAGCTGGAAAATGGCTTTCACACCGATTTAGAGTTGTGAAACGAGTTTCCAGGAATCAAGCAGGCTCCTCTCACATTGCGGTTCCTCTGTCATGAATCCTTAAATTTTCCCGACGACATTTACAGACACCCTTGTAATCCCAACAAGCGACCAAAACCGTGCACCCTATCTCTGCCAATATTAGATTTTGATCAGACTTTTTTTTTGTTTCTTTGTTAGCAGCATTACTATCCAACCAATGGATTTAGATACAGATTGATGGTTCTCATCGTGAATTTTTCTGCTCCCAAGCAGTCGGTGGGAAAGATGTTGAGGCTGATAATGAGTCGCCATTATTACACAGATTTGGAATGTCTGAAATATTGACACTTTTGGAACGAGTGATTGGATCGTGTCTACTTAAGTTCAGTGCTTAAGTGTAGTCCACATGAAAGTTAATAACTCCAAGGAGATAAATAAACCGTCTTTCATATTTATTAATAGTTCCTTTAGCTTTATTTTAGCATAAGCCTCACCTTTCATACAAAAATATAAATTTTTTGATGTAGATTAATTTTTATTTATTACTTTTTTAGTCTGGATTAGTTGTTTTCTTAAATCACTTTTTCCCAGCTTGTATGTTGCACGATTGCTGTTAGGCAGCAGATTTACAGAATCTCCTATTCCGGTGTTGCTGATTCTGCTTCTGTCTTTCATATTTATTAATAGTTCCTTTGGCTTTATTTTAGCATAAGCCTCGCCTTTCAGACAAAAATATTAATTTTTTGACGTAGATTAATTTTTATTTATTACTTTTTTAGTCTGGATTAGTTGTTCTCTTAAATCACCTTTTTTCCCAGCTTGTATGTTGCAGGATTGCTGTTAGGCAGCAGATTCACAGAATCTCCTATTCCGGTGTTGCTGATTCTGCTTGCTCAATTAATGCAGACCCGGTCATTCTGCTAATCAGGATGACATCGAGTCTGTGTTGTTTCTGCTGTCTGACAGTGCCATTGGCTTCTTTCCGCCCACTGACTGACAAAAGCCATAGACAGAGGCACCGGCCCCAAAGGATTTACACAGATGGGGATGTTGAGAAATTGTATCCATCAGCAGAGAGTGGGTAGGAAGTGTGGTCATGATCTCTCCTATCATCAAACCAAAACCAACAGCTCTCGATCGTGTTTATCAGCCAATTAAACTTGACTTTCGATCCTGTGCAGTATCCGCTTATGGCCGGTAATTGTATGCCCTTGTGTGTTGAAAAGAAATTTGATTTACTACTGTTGTCGAATACGCTCTCCACGTTTGTACATGACCAGAAACCAACCGGAGATCAATTGTTTTACAAAAATCATCATTCACAATTTCAGATGGTATTTTTTCCCCCTTTCTTGGAAAAAAACAAAACTGTTCGACAAATACATTTCCCAGGTCACTTAAGGTGATTTATGAAACAGGCCCAGTAAATGACAACTCGGAGGTGCTGATGTTTTACTTTCCTGCGCGCGTTCTGCTGTTTGCAGAGGTATTGCAGGTATCAAGATGGGAGTTTAGGTTCTTGCTTAAAACGCAGAGCTCATTGTTAATGCCCCCTATGGAGAGCTCTCGATCGTCAATATGGAGCCACCTCTGCAAACTTAATGACCAGTGTGGAACTTTGAATCAATGCTCATCTTTTCCACAACCTGCAGAATGTAACTGCAATGTGACCCCTGGGTAAATTTGTGTCCCCCCTTAAGTTGATCCAAATAGCCATTCTTCCACCTTGTTTAAAAGCGCCATTTTTTTTTTTTGCCTTGCAGATGAAAAAGAGGAAGGGATACTTGGCAGCATCCTGCTTCCAAGCTTTCATATATCCATGCTGTCCGTTGATGATCACATCACCAGAAAGTACGCCTTCAAGGTCAGTGCTTTCAACCATCAAACAATTAATGAGGGTTTGAGGCAAACATAAACACATTTCTGAGGAGAAGCAAAACATGAACAAAGGCCCCTCCAAAATCTACTTTGCTGTGATTGCTGTTATCCAGAAAGTGGCAACAAGTCCTTTCTTTGTCATTGACATTTGAAGAGCAATAATGCAATGTCCATCGCAAGCCGAAACGTTAAGAGATACGGGAAATGCGCGTTGCTGCAGGGCAGTGGCCACATGAAATGGGTTCACAGTAGTGTGTACGGTTATGATTTTGGGTCTTTCCTAAACCCTGAAAGTCAACAAGTACTCCTGCCAAGCACAACTAAGACACAGACAGCAAAGGAGTCAGCCCACTTCTTTTCCAACCTGGTCACATGCGAGGGAGTTGAGGTAACGAGGGGCAAGAGCAGGACATGACCTGCTGCCGTTTCTTTGCTCTAAATCTTCCGCATCGTGCTTTGGGTAATCGGGGTATTTTTTCAGAAACTGGCAAACAGGGTATTGGGGGTTGTCCGATAACCATTCTATTTCTCTGTCACACTTGAATCTTTTGCTTTGCTGGCTGGGAGGCATTATTGGAAGCATGCAGCGACATGTCTGCAATAAGATTCACGACCCGGTAAGTATGATTTTAGCAAATCTGCTGGTCTAATCTTATAAGTGCGGCATTTTCAAATTCTTAGTTGTCTCTTTCAGAAACCTTGTCACGCAGGCAACACATCCCAACATGCGAACATACTACTTTTGCACGGACACAGCCAAAGACATGGAGTCCTGGATGAAAGTGATGACGGATGCCGCGCTTGTGCATTCCGACCCTGTCAAAAGGTTTGTAAGTCATCGGTGATTGCACTACACGTTCAAAACTGCCCATTTTGTCCCTTTGGAGTATTCCTTCATTTTCGTGTCACGCACGTGTGCTGAAATCTGAATGTATGATGCTTGGCAACGGTTCACCACCGACATTTGGCTTTTCTATTTTCTGTGTTTGGGAAAGAAGCTTTGACCTTGAAGGTCACTTAACTATATGGGCGATGTCATTTGATGGGTAGCGTGCAAACAAATGTTTGCTTTAGGCCTATGAACACAGTGAGCAGTACATCTAACACTGGGCACAGCTTTCATCAGTAGCGATGATAGTCTTTGCCATTTTGTGTTAAATGCCATTTTGTGTTAAATGTTATTCAGCTGCCTGTCCGTGTAATGCCCTTTAAGCATGGGTGAGCAGAGGCGTAATGATGAAGTGCTTTGTAGCTACGGGGTGCTGCTGAGCCTAAAATCCACCAAATGGCGCTGAGAAAAGTGTAATGCTGCTAAAAGCCAGTCAAGTATAGCGACACTACTGTGTAGTAACTGCAGAAGTGCATGATTACTGCACTTTTTTTTTTTTTATGGGCTCCATGTGATTTCAGGTAGGTAGGTTAAGGCTTTATAAGAGATGAGGCGACTGTGGTAGCTCTTTAAATGGGTTCAAGCGCAATCTCGGAAGGAAATGCCCCTCCAAACGCTTTTGTTGCTGACCCACTAAACCGGTCTGATAAGAGGAATTTGCTCATCGTTGAAGCGATGACTTTGAGTCCATCTAAGGCCAAGGAGCGGCGGTGTCAATTACCTCCAGAGACCTCCCAATGAAGTAGAGATTTGTGGTGAGCTGCAAATGGATTTCTAGCTGCTGAGCACCACCTTTCAGACATGCCCTGGCAGAGGCATTTTTTTTTCTCTCCCTGGAGATATCACATTTCACTTTACATACCTGGCAGCTGGAATATTGTGCATTGTGCAGCTCATCTTCATGCTTTCTCGTTGTTTCAAAGCAATAGCAGAGTGCCCCGTGAGTAAATTAAGACGAGCGCATCATACTAATAGTACTTAATATTTTTTGTGACATTTTTATATGGTGGTGTGCTGTGAGATTTTTCTTATGTAAAATGGGTGCCTTGGATCAATAAAAATTGGGAAACACTGGAAATACAGATGTCTTATCAATGTCACGTGTTAGTGCGGACGAGTTCATTTGTATTTGTTCCTTTGTCATTATCAGGTTGGACAAACTAAAAGTGGAACAGTGTGGCCCTCAGGAGGTCAATCACGTGGCCAATCACAAGCCACCGTTAACACAGCCCGAAATTGAGAACAACGAGCGCAACCGCGAGGGGGACCGCGAGCATATGCCGGAAGAGGACAGGAAGCAGCGAGATGCCGAGCGCTATGGCTTCCAGAAAGATGGCGCCGACCCCAATCGCCCCCTCACCAAGATCAACAGTATCAAAATGCAGCCAGCCCAAGCACCAGCGATCACAGTCAAGCTCGCAATGCCACGCAGCCCGACAGAGATTGATGGCTCACACCAGAGCCCCCAAGTCAACGGAGCTGGTGAACCCAGGCCAGCTGACTACACTGGAGTTCCCCCTCAACGAAGTCCAAACTACGAGCCGGAACGGACTTTGAGTAGGACAAGCTCGATGCAGCAACTGGAGCAGTGGGTTCGCACGCAAAGAGGACGCGCCCCGGATGATGACACCAGGAGGTTTGTGTCATTTACTTGTATTAATGCCGTGCTGACTGGGTGTATGTAGTTCAATAAAATGTTAACCAAATGTACCCGGTCGAACATTTCCAAATGTTTTTCACCATACGTCTTCCCACTGTCTGTCTATATATATATATATATATATATATATATATATATATATATATTGAAAATCAGTTCAGATAATTGATGGTCTTTAAAAAGCACGCCCTCTGGAACGTTGAATTGTTTCTAAGGCGCCCATGCCTTCTTTAATCTCATTAAGTGTTACAGACCAGAATGCACAAATGCCAAGTTTTGACAGGAAGTTTGAATGGAAACTCTCTTATTGCCAGCTGTACTCTCTTTGAACCCACGTTAAGCAATGTTTTTGTTGTCTCTGGAAAAGTGTAGCATGTCCAGTGGTGTTCTTTTGGGTTTCTGTTTACTGACTAAATGCACATGGAAACACAAAACCTTGTTGGCTACTGGTCAGTCAAATTCCATTAACGTGAGATGGTTATGTCCAAAAGGAAGAGATATGTCATCTGCAATTTATTTGGTTGTCGATAATAATCGCCAACAGACCTGTGAACAAGACGAATCGGTGAAGATTGTAGCTATCTGCAGATAGGCAGCATCCAAACAGCTCTCAGTTCATTACAGAGAAGTGATAGATGTCAGATGGAAAATATGCACTCGTCGGTTTACTTTCTGTCACGGATTTCTCTGTGGTTATTCGCCATATTTATTTATTTTTGCTTTGAAGAAGCTGAAGACACTCTGAATCGGCGCATCCTAATTCACTACATGGCTCAGTGACCGAGTCACACCTCATCTATTATATTGCAATGATTACTCTTCTAATATTCTGGCAGACCATTTGGCTGTGATAAGTGTAGCTTGCTTTCTTTTCCAAGAGATCAAGAGTGTGTTTTTTTTCTCCTTTTTTTTGTATTTGGGCCCTCCCACTTAACTATTCCCTTCCCTTACTATAAAACAAAGTATGGTTTTAATCTCAATCTTAAATTGACTACAGATACCATAAAAACCAAGTGATGCACTTCATGTTTTTATTTTAGGATCCTGATTATTTATGTCTATGAACAAAAACAGCTCTATTTGTTTTGGTTTATTGCTATGACTAAAAGAAAAAAAAGTACATTTTATAATTGAATCAACGCAACATGTTAGTTCAGGATTTGATCACTTATTTTCCTTCCGCAGCATCGCGTCGTACCAGACACTCCCTAGAAAAATGCCAAATCATCGGATGCCCCATGTGCCTCATTATGGCGACGGTTACCGCAGCATGCCCAGAAATAGCATGGCGCAGCGGGACAGCATCTGCAGCATGTCGCCGTCGTTGTACGACCAAACCTTGGGGCCCGCGATGGCTGACAAGTGCCGCTCCGTGCGCTCGGACACAATGTGGCAGCTATACGAGTGGCAGCAACGACAGGCCTACGCCAGACCGCCGGGGATGTATGGCCACATGGCCAGCCCCAAAACCATGATCAACCTTTCAGAGCATGCTGCGCCGACCTACTCCATCCCACCTTCGCCTTCCCACGGTTCGCTGTCAATGTATGGCGGTTACTCTCAACCGCGATCATACAACATGAGCAGTGCCCGGTCTGACATCGCTTCCCCCATCTACCAAAGGGAGATGAGTATGGACAGGCGGCACAGGCACCAAATCCCGAAGGTTAGTCAAGAACTGAATGAGGTGTTGATATGTGTAGCAAAGCTTTTAATTACCGTTTATTCTCTCCACAAGGGTTGTTTCCGCATTATGAGTTGATTATTATTATTATTTTTTTTGCAGTGAACAGTTTCTGATATATACTACCCTGTTTGTAGTAGATCTTCTTCCAAGCGTACTCACAGTTAATTTGAATTTGATGTTGCAGAAAGTGTCACAATTTCAAGTGATCACGGTGTTCGAAAACTATCTCTCTCTCTCTGTCTCTGTCTCTTACACGAACACAGTGTATAGTCAATAATGAGATGTCGAATGTGTGGGATTGTTTGATCATATCATCAATATTCTTTTTTTTCCTCCCATTAGTCTGTCTAGGAAATTCCATGGTTAGATGTTCATACCTCTGTTAAATTTCATCCAATGAGACTTCCTGTAATGTTCACGAGGAATGTTTTTTTTTTTTGTTATTTTTTTGCACCCTTGTTATACAGAAGAAATTCTGGATCTAAATTTACTTGATTCCACTGTAATTTTTTTCCCCCCCAAACAGTGAAAATAATTGTGAAAATGAATGTGTTGCCCATCTCTTTCAGTATGCCTATCCACCTGATAGGAGGTCAATGCCTGTAGGAATTCCAGTCCAGACGATCACTGCTCAGTCTCTCCAAGGCAAAAGTGTAAGTCTTACTGTGGATTTAATTGGTCTGTTAGCTATGTGTGAGTAAGTTGTCAAAATGCATTACGATGCCATATTCTCAAATGTGCTGGGTTGTCGAAACAATTATACCCTTCCTTGACTGACTGTCTGTGACTTGTGTCCATGATGACCTTGTGACAAAACAAAGATGGAGTCAAAATCAGTTTTCCTTTCTGCAAGTGATCGGATTAAGTCTCTGCCGACTTTAGACGCTCTTCAGAGTCGCTTCGCGCCAGCATTGATTTAAAAACGCTGTCAGTCTCAACTCTCTAAGCCAGCTCAGGAATGTATGTCAAAGTCACTGTTGCTAGTGTGCGAGCTGCTTTCCGTTATCGATGCAAAACGGCTCCTCTCTCTCGGGTGCAAGTTGGGAGTTTGCATGCTGCCAACACCTTGGCTAATCTCGTTGTTGTGATCTGCATGAAAACTCACTAGCTGGCAGCATTGATGCATCTCCTATCCTGGTGTGTTCTCTCCTTTTTTCCTCCTCCCCCTACGGTGTCCCTGCTTGATAATGGCTGTACGCGTCCCACAACCTCACCTCCTTTGCAGCCTGAGGAACTGACTTTGCTTCTGATAAAGCTGCGTCGGCAGCAGGCAGAGCTAAACAGTGTCCGGGAGCACACTCTCGCACAGCTTACGCAACTTAACATGGATGGCGACAACCCAAAGGTCAGCCCCCCCGACCCCACCCCCTCCTCCGCCCCAAAGATGTTCCTCTGGAGGCATGTTAGTTATTGTGTGGCGTGTATGCCATCCATCCCCCACCTCAGCTATCTATCCTGATGTACAACAAGGTCTGTTTTTACTAACGAGGGACATCAGCTACTCTGCTTGAAAATCTAATCAAACATTAGATTCATTTTAGTGGGTTAGCAGTAGATGATTGTTCTCTAAAGAGTCCAGACAGATGTTAGCAGTGAACGAAACTTAAAACCATTGGCAAGCTTCAAGTCGTTTGGGTGACTGCCACGTGTAATGCAGTTAAATCAGGATTCCCTCTTTTAAGATGTCCGAGTAGAGATTTGGATATTTTAGGTCAGCAGGGTGTGGGATGAGGGTCTGCCATCACTTCAGACTAATGTTCCAGCCAGTTTAAACTGCTGGGACACGAGCCCAGCCCAGCTGTCGTGTGTCAATATCTTCTGTAGCGTATACCCTGTCTCAACTTTCTTCTGCCTCTGTGTACATGATGACATCCTTGAAAATGTGAGCAAATTGAATACAGAATGCCCCTCATTTGGTCTCCATATTCTTCTTCTTCTTCGTCTTCTTCTTGCTGCTGCTGCTCACACTAGAACGATGCTCTGTCCCATCATCTCCAAAGGACTCTAATGTATTTGGACAATCAGGTGGGGTAATGCATGGTTGCCTGGCCCTTGCTTTTTAAATGTTTTTTATAATTTATATATATGTATGTATATATATATAT